TACATACGATTGTTAACAACCGGTTCGTGGAGGTCATTAAATTCTAAGAACAGGTTCGCATGAACCGGGTGAATCCCACCACTGATTTCTGAACAGCAATACTTTTAAATCTCCAACAGTGGAGTATGTGCAACACAGAGGTTAAGCACACATTTGTCAATTAAGAGTACCAATACACAGATGTTTGGAACTACTTATTAACTGAAGTACCGATAGATACACAGAAGTTTGGGAACTACTTATTAACTGAAGTACCGATAGATACACAGATGTTTGGGAACTACTTATTAACTGAAGTTCCGATACACAGATATTTGGGAACTACTTATTAACTGAAGTACCAATACACAGATGTTTGGGAACTACTTATTAACTGAACTTCCGATACACAGATGTTTGGGAACTACTTATTAACTGAAGTACCGATACACAGATGTTTGGGAACTACTTATTAACTGAAGTACCAATACACAGATGTTTGGGAACTACTTATCATACTTGGATCATACATTTAATATAGTTGGAACCCACTCAACAGTCTGACTGAAGAAAAGAATCTTGGGATACTGGTTCTCTGTCACTATTGGTAAAGGTAAAAGAGTTTTAGGATATATTTATACACATATTGATGATTACAAGTCTAATTATCTTTCTAAACAAATTATTAATTAGGCCTCACTTGGAAAACGTGTACAGTTTTATCTCCTTATCTAAGAAAGGATATTAACTTATTGGAAAGGTTTCAGAATGATTCCAGGGATGGAAAGGTTATGTTATAGGAATAGGCTAAAAATCTCTTAACTTGTGTTTTCTCAAGAAAAGAAGGGTTAGAGATGATTTTATTCAAGTGTACCCAGGATATAAAGACCTCCAATTTCTTTGTGCTATATTCTGAAGATAACAACAGAATACAAGTATAAGGTTTGAAATAAAGACAGACTTGGCTCCAGTTAAGACAAGTTTGAATTTTTCTAAACAGCGTGATTGACTTATGGAATGACTTGCCATCACCAGTAGTTGGAGTCAGCAGTTCATAAGTGTTAATTTCTTGGAAAGTAAAAGGTTATTTAAAATGTTTACTTTTCTCAAAGGTGGATGTACAAGGACTGCCTTGAAGGACCAAACTTATTTTTCTCACACTTTTGGCAGACTAAAATTTCAAATACTGAGAAAAATAAAAATCAGGGAATATGTTCATTTTTGGAGTGTAAAATATAGCTAGAAAGTATGCTTTTATTGAATAACGTATAGTTGTTGACAGTCAGTTAGTCTTTATAAGAAGTTACGTAAAGAACTTCCACCCACATTCTCCATGGAGGTTTTCCATTAAACAGTTCTTCACTAACTGCTCTCTATGCTTTTCAAGCAATGCACTACTGCTTTGAAGTTACACTAAGTTTTCAGTAAAGTAGAAAAGGAATTAGTAATTATTTTTTACACATATTTTAGTATGAAATATATAACAGTTGAGGAGAAACAAACAGTTAAATCCCACCTTCTTCTTCTTTAAGTCTTTCTATGTATCTAAAAACATCTTCCTTTAGTAATCTACCATTCTTTCCAGTACCTTGAACGTTACCAAGCTGCACCTGTGTATAAAATGTAAGGCAACCTAATCAGAAACACAGTGAATCTGAATTATTTGTTAAATGTTTTCATTACACTGGTTTCATCTGACCGCTTAACAACATTTTGTTTTACTGTTCTTACTCATAAACTGATTGTTAGAAGATTTTATTCATAATTAATCCACAATTTGCAAAACAAAAAGAATTTTGAAGAAAAAAAAAGTATATATTCTTATTGAACTACAAACATTTCTATAAATTCTGAACTGATATTGCATAAGTTAGTAATGAAAATTTTAATGGTCAATGTTTATACATCAGAGTGAATAAAATTTTTAAACCATGTTTACACGTTCTGGAATAACCTATTAAATGAGTTTCATCCATCCAGAAGTGTGTTGTATGTCTGCTGTATTCACCCAATACGTACGCTTCAACAAGTGAACTCATGTCAAAGTATCTAAAAACTAAACTGCAATACTAATACATATATACACAGCGTGGTCACAAGTAAATAGACACCTCCTTTTCAGAAAAAATGAAATTTTTCAGTCATATTCACATGAATT